GTTGTTGAGCTTGTAGCCCGAGTGGGACAATTTTTTCGATTGTGTCCGACCTGACGACATAAACCACACTTTATTTCTAGCTTGTCAATGGAGTTCATTTCAGTTGTGATACGCTTGCTTTTGGGACGACCCTTTTTATTCCTTCGCATTTATCATTGTGCCATACTATTTCCCCGTCGTATGCAGGCCAATAATCAGGTTTCGCTACCAATGGAAAGTCGTTGTTGTATACGTTGAGCAAGGTTTCAGACTTGTAAATGGGAGATAGAAGTTGTAATGCGTCTTGATGAGTATACGCACATGCCGCAATGACATCAGAGCAAGGAATACGAAAGGCTTGAAACTTGCCACAATCGTACCAACGAGATGGTAGTATTACCCTATACTCTTGTCTTGGCAGCCCTTCGTTATGGTGGATTGTCTCTTTGACAATAAAGTTGTGGCTGTGTCGGTCGAACCTTATAACCAAATGGGTTTTGGCTTTGGCACTTTTTGCCTTAATATACTTCACGCATCTTTCACTCCATAGTTGTCCTGATTGTAAGACAACATTCCATATTTCACCTCTTTTGGAAAACAACGAAGCCATCCTAAAATATGTTGATTTAACCAAAGCAGTTACTGGAAGGTTTTATATGACTTTGAATACACCGTTCATGGATTCGATAAGATTTGTTGTCATGTGGCCCCATCGTTGTCCATTGTCGTATGACCTTGTCCATTTCTCCACCGGAGTATTATCAATCTACCTACCTGCTTCCAGATTTGATAATCTGATCTCATTGCGATAGTGTTTGAACGTAGGTTGTGTTAATGCATACCCCGCGTTCATAAATGCTTTCCTAAGAGCCTTGTCTTTGATCTCCCTTGTGAAATTTTGTACGATATTTCTAATGCAGTAGACATGCGTAGAAGGAGGTTCATGCCAACCGTTTGCAGGATTATTATATGCACTCTCAATAGATGCATGTCTATCAGAAATCAAATAGATATTTGGTTGAGGAGCCACGTGTGTTCGGAGATTCTTGAGAAAGAAACTCCAAGCACCACCAGTCTCTCCCTCGACGAGAGCAAAGGCAATTGGGAAAATATTATTGTTGTTGTCTTGTGCAACTGCCATCAGTAGCATGCCTTTGTATTTCCCATACAACCAAGTCCCATCAATTTGAATAATAGGTTTGCACGATGCAAACCATGTGATGCAAGGTTGAAAAGCCCAGAACACTCGACTGAATATTCCATTTTCGGTGACATGAGTACCATCTGGGGCGTACGTCGAAAATGTTTCCATAATATAAACAATACCTGGAGAATACGTCTGAAGTGCATGCAGGTAGCGGGGAAGTTCTTTGTATGACTCCTCCAAGTTTCCATATACCTTTTTAATCGCCTTGGTCTTTGCTAACCACGCCTTTCCAATGATCCCGTGATTGAGTAGAATTGACGCACGTGTGGGTGGACATAGAACCTTCACCCAACAATCACCTCTTAATCTGTATGATGCAGTGAGCTTGAACATACAATTTGGGTGGACACACCTGAGCTTGTACCTTTCTGGATTTACACGATCTACCTTAAAATCGACTGAGTTTAGAATGTGAAACTTTTTAATGGCTCGAATACAATCTTATCTATTACGAAATTTGTCTTTCTCTTTTAAGTTTTCATCCGACTGCATATACGGATTGAAAAAAACATCAGATAAGGGTTAATCCCTGCCCATGTTGAAGTTTGTCATGTGTGAAGGTGGTGTGTAGGTCTCATTCAGAGGTATACCATGTATCCCATCGTCTTCAGAATCATCGTTGACCATGTCTTAAAACTCTAACTCGTCATATTTCTATTCTTCGTCAAAGACATCTACTTCTGCTTGTTTGGCTTCGAGAGGATCAACCACTTGTGACTGAATTGGTCGTGACAGCTGAAGCTCCCGCGGCACAATGTACAACTTAATAGAGTCGTACCCAGAATACTCATGACTGGAAAACATATTCTGAAGGTCCTCATCATCTTGAACCTCAACCTTATAATATATTATTTGGTTCTCACAAAAAAACCAGGATTTTGATAGAAGATTTGTGTCACGGGACCTCGTCCAAGTTTGACCTCCAATCGTTTTTTGAAATACAAGAAATTTGCTTTCATGTTTAAACAAAATCAGATGTTCTCAGTGTCTCTAAATAAAAACCCTGAGGTGGGACAAATGTATGTATCACCGTTGAAATGTGCACTGATAACTGTGATCGGTGGAAATAGAACTGACTGTTTTTAGCTGGTTTCGCGAAATGTCACGGAAGCAAGAGTCGCCGTCTTTTATGTTCTCCAACATGGAAAGGACAAAAGCACAGCAAAATTCCTTATGAGAATGTTTCTCGGTTCGGGAGGTAGATTTATAGAAAGGGAAGGTGTTAGCACCCTTTCTATCCGTGGTTATCCACGGGCTCTTAGGTACTTGCTCTTATATTTTCAAAAATGTTTGCTTTTCAAATGTGTGTGGGTTTTGAAAAAAAGTTCGTTTGAAAACTTCTAGGTAACTCTTATATCAGTCCTCAAGAGTGTATGAAGTATTGTTTGAAAACTTTTTGAAAGTGTAAGGTGTGAAAAGTTGTTTTTGTTTGTCTTGAAAAGAGCAAGTACTTAAGAGAAATCTACCTACTCTAAGGAATTAAGCTGTGTAAGAGTCCTTTAGATAGTGCCATCCCACCATTGAGAGGTAGGTAGCACCATCGTTGGAGGTGTTCGGGTCAATTCGATTATAAGGGACAGTGTGGTCACCAAAGCAATGGTAGGACACCTTAGAAGTAACCCTAATGTCCTAGATCCTTTTTATCCGAGGCAACCGTTTCGAGGCAACTGGATCTTTTGGACAGAAGGGCGACCTCTAAGACACCCTATACTTGATGACCACGTTTCGAGGCAACGAGTGAAGCGTACCCTAAGAGTGGCATGTGCTTTGTGTGTTGTATTCAGTTAATGTTTGTCTTTGTAATTAGTGAGCTACGAGTTGTTTTTATTTACCATACATTCTTGCATG